GTCTCTGTTGCTGACTCCAGGCTCTTTCTCTTGTCTCAAGGCTAGACAAGTACAAGGCTTTCAGGTCTGTGAGGTGCAATCCAATAGTATGGACCCTCAAAAGACCTTAAACAGCCAAATCAATCTTGATACAAAATAACAAAGCTGGAGGCATCACATTTCTGGATTTCAAACTATACAACAAAACTATAACAATCAAAACATACAGTGTTAGCATAAATACAAATATATAAGTCAATGGAACAGAGTCAAGAGCCCATAAATAAACCATTTATAAATCATTTCTATAAAGATTTACAATCATTTCTCATCAGCTAATATTTGACAAGAACACTCAATAAGAAAAGTATAGTCTCCTAAACGGTGTCAGGAAAACTGGCTAACCACATGCAGCAGAATGAAATTGGACCACTATTTTACATTAGTCACAAAAATTAATTCAAAATGAATTAAAAACTTAAAATGTAAGATCTGAAACTGTAAAATTAACCAGAAGAAAACATAAGGGACCAATGGACAGATCATTCAGACAGAAAATCAGTAAGGACACACAAGCCTTAAATGATAGGTTAGACCGGATGAACTTAATTTATATTTATAGAACATCCCATCTGAAAGCAGCAGAATACACTTCCTTCTAATGTGCACATGGAACATTCTCCAGGATAGATCACAGGTTGAGCCACAAATCAAGCCTCAGTAAATTTAAGAAAACTGAAATCATTTCAAGCATTTTTTCTGACCTCAATGCTATGAGATTAGAAATTAATTACAAGAAAAAACTATAGAAAACACAAACACATGAGGGCTAAACAATATGTTACTAAACAATCAATGGATCACTGAAGAAACTGAGGAAGAAACTTAAAAATTACCTAGAGACAAATGACAACGAAAACCTCAGAACCCAAAACCCACGGGACATAGCAAAGGCAGTTCTAAGAAGGAAGTTTATAGCAGAACAATCTTACCTTAGGAAACAAGAAAACTCTCAAATGAACAACCTAACCTAAAACTAAAAGCTAGTTCTTTGAAAAGATAAACAATATTGATAAACCTTTAGCCAGATTCAGCAAGAAAAAAGGGGAAAGGGTTAAAGTTAATAAAATTAGAAATGAAAAAAGAGAAGTTTCAAATGACACCACAGAAATACAAAGGATTATAAGAGACTGCTACAAGCAATTATATGCCAATAAAGTGGACAACCTAGAAAAAAATGGACAAATTCTTAGACAAGTACAAACTGACAAGACTGAATCAGGAAGAAACAGAAAATATGAGTAGACAAATCACAAGTATTGAAATGGAAAATATGATTTAAAACTTCCAACCAACACAAGTTCAGAACTAAATGGCTTCACAGTTGAATTCTATCAAACATTTGGAGATGAGTTAACACCTATCCTTCTGAAACTATTTCCAAAGACTGCAGAGGAAGAAACACTCCCAAATTCATTCTATGAGGCCACCATCACCCTGATAAAACCATATAAAGATACCACACAAAGACTGCAGAGGAAGAAACACTCCCAAATTCATTCTATGAGGCCACCATCACCCTGATAAAACCATATATAGATACCACACACAGAAAAAGAAAATTAAAGGTCAATATCACTGATGAACATACTCACAAAAAAAAATCTTTAAAAAATATTAGAAAATTGAATTAAACACCACATTAAAAAAAATCATATACCAAGATCAAGTGGAATTTACCCCAAAGATGCAAGGATTCTTCAATATGCACAAATCAATGTGATACACCACATTAACAAATTGAAAATTAAAAATATGATAATGTCATAGATGCAGAAAAAGCTTTTGACAAAACTCAACACCTATTTATGATAAAAACTCCAGAAAGTGGGAATAGAGAAAACGAACCTCAACATAATAAAGACCACAAACAAACCCACAGCTAACATCATTCTCAGCAGTGAAAAACTGAAAGCATTTCCTCTAAGATTAGGAGCAGGACAAGAATATCCATTCTCACCACTTTTATTCAACAGAGTTTTGGATGTCCTATCCATGGCAATCGAGAAGAAAATGAAATAAAAGGAATCCAAATTGGAAAAGAAGAAGTTAAACTGATACTGTTTGCAAATGACATGATACTACATGCAGAAAATCCTAAAGATGCTGCCAGAAAACTACCAGAGCTCATCAATAAATCTGGTAAAGTTGCTGGATAAAAAATGTTGAATTCCTATATACTAGCAAAAAAAGATCAGAAAGAGAAATTAAGAAACCAATCCCATGTTACATTATATCAAAAAGAATAAAATACCCAGGAATACATCTACCTAAAGAGGCAAAAAGACATGTACTCTGAAAACTATCAGATGCTGATGAAATAAATCAAAGTTGACAAAAACAGAGAGAAAAACCATGTTCTTGGGCTGGAAGAATAAATATTGTCAAAATGATTATACTACCTAAAGCAATCTACAGATTCAATGCAATCTCTATCAAATCCCCAGATTTTTTTGTGTTCATTTTCTGTGTTCCTCAGATCGTGTTCATTTTTCACACAATTGAACAAAAATCTTTTTTATTTGTATGGTAACACAAAAGACCCCAAATAGCCAAAGTACTCCAGAGAGAGTAAAACGAAGCTGGAGGAATCAGGCTCCCTGACTTCAAACTATACTACAAGTCTAGAGTCATCAAAACATTATTGTGCTGGTACAAAAACAGAAATACAGATCAATGGGACAGAATAGAAAGTCCAGAGATAAAGCCATGCACCTCTGGTCAACCAATCTATGACAAACGAGGAAAGAATATAAAATGTAGAAAAGACAGTCTCTTCAACAAGGGGTACTAGGAAAACTAGACAAATACATATAAAAGAATGAAGTCAGAACAACATACACAAAAATAAAATCAAAATGGAAGGCTGGACACTATAAAATCTTTAGAGAAAAACATAGGCAGAACACTCTCTGATATAAATTGTAGCAATATCTCTCTTGATCCACCTCTTAGAATAATGAAAATAAGAGCAAAAATAAAATGGGACCTAATCAAGCATAAAAACTTGCACAGCAAAATGAAAAGATAACCCAGAGAATGGGAGAAAATATTTGCAAATGATGCAACTGATAAGGGATTAATCTCTAAAATACACGAATAGCTCATGCAGCTCAATATCCCGCCCCCCTCCAAAAAAAGGACAGAAGATCTAAATAGACATTTCTCTAAAGAAGACACACAGAAGGCCCAAAAGTACATGAAAAGATAATGTCACTAATTATTAGAGAAATGCAAATCAAAACTACAATGAGGCATCACCTCACACTTGGTTAGAATGGTCATCATTAAAAGGTCTACAAACAATAAATGGTGGAAAGGGTGTGGAGAAAAGGGAACTCTTCTATACTGCTAGCTGGAATGTAAATTGGCACAGCCACTATGGACGTTTCTTTAAAAACTAAAAATAGAGTTTATGTATGATCCAGCAACCCCACTCCTGGCCATATACCTGAACAAAAATCATACTTTGAAAAGATATTCACTGTATCATTATTCACAATAGCCAAGACATGGAAGCAACTAAAATGTCTATTGACAGAGGAATGCATAAAGAAAATGTGGGATATATATATATATATTTATATATATATATATAATATAAAAAATTTATATTTATATTATATAAAATATAATAAAATATTACTCAGCCTTAAAGAAAGAATGAAATAATGTCATTTGCAGCAACATGGATGAACCTGGAGTGCATTATGCTTTGTGAAATAACTCAGAAAAAGAAAGGCAAATACTGTATGTTATCACTTATATGTGCAGTCTCTTACTAGGAGAATGGATAAGGAAAATGTATTCAATGTGTACTATGTCATAGTTAGAAGTAATAAACTAGATGAACACATAACAATAATAATGTCTTAAAATCATAACAATTAAATAAATCAAGAAATAAGATGTGAACTTTAGTGCAATACTATCTATGTAAATTTAAAACACACATGAAACATTATATGATTTTTAAGAATACAAATGGAAAACATGCCTATTACAATAAGTAACACTTTGAACACATATATTACCTACTGAACTTTAACTCTCGAAACTTTAACCATTATTATCCCCAATCTATAAATAAGGAAATTGAGGCACAGAGGGATTATATAGCTAGTGAGTGGCAGATGTGGGGTTTAAACCTTGGCAATCTGACATCAAAGGCTATGCTCTTAGTCTTCCCCAAAATGTACATGAAGAGGAGGCATAAAATTACAATGGTGGATGCAAATATTATGCCCTGAAAAATGACTGACTTAACTTCCTGCGGGGTTCCCTGGTGGCTCAGACGATAAAGAATCCTCCTGCAATGCAGGAGACCTGGGTTTGATTCCTGGGTTGGGAAGATCCCCTGGAGGAGGAAAAGGCATCCCACTCCACTATTCTTGCCTGGAGAATCCCCAAGGACAGAGGAGCCTGGCAGGCTACAGTCCTTGGGCTTGCATAGAGTTGTACACGACTAAGCAACAAGCACATAACTCGCTGCACCTGAGATCTAAAAAAGAAAAAAAGCTTATTACTAAATCTCATTTGTTCCTCACAACTCTTAATCAAATACTTATATTAAAATGGCAGATATATTATGTAGCTGATTCTTTCTGATTCTAAAATTTTGAATCTTCATCTTTAACTTTACATTTTCTATGACAGAAGGCCTAATTGAGTATGCTATATCTGTGAAAAAAAAGAAGGGTGTACTATTTTTCCACTTTTCTAGGACAATTAACTGTATAAGAGTCATTTATTCTCAACATAAAGTAGGCCTTTTCAGCAGATGGATATCTATATTAAGTTCTAGGTTTTAGCAAACAAAGTTATTGTGATAGCTATGTTTGCACACTTCTTGCTAAGAGTACTGTTACTTTAGACAGTGAGATCGCAAGAGATTATGTGATCATAAGAGATATGACATTTATGGCAAAATAAAAATAGAGCAAAATACAAAGTAATATTACAGTAGAACGCTTCCAGAAGTGAGCAATTTCATCGATATTTTTTGCAGGATGAAGCAAGAAGTAGTTCTTCCATTCATCCCAGTCTACTGTCATTGTTCCATCTCTATCAATGCTGAAATTCAAAAAACATTCATAACAAAGTTAGCAACATTATAAAAATTAATTAAACACTTCCTACATATTTATTGTAGAAGCCACTTCTTTGGGCTTCATCAATTTTCCCATCTTCAATAAAAGTTTATTTTTTGGAATAGTTTAAGACTTTCAGAAAATCTTAGAGAATATTTATTGAGATTCATTGTACAACCTATTAAGATAGTACTGAGAGTTCCCACATATCCCCACATCCAGTTTCCCCTAATGGTAACATCTCATATTATTATGATATATTTGTTACAGTTAATAAACCAATATTGATATATTATTATTATTAACTAAAGTTAAGGCTTTAGGTCCTTTAAGGTCCTTTTTTTGTTTTAGGGTCCCACCTGAGATACCACAAGCCATTTGGTCATTACATCTCCTTAAGACTTTCTTGGCTATGAAAGTTTCTCAGATTTCCATTGTTTTTTGATAACTTTAATAGTTTCTGTTATATGCTGATCCAGATATTTTGTAGAATACTCCTCTAATGGAATTTATTCTGTATTTCTTTTTAATTATTTACTTGTCTTTCTCTCATACTTGCCTATGATCTTTCAAAAGGAAAGACAATTTAGAAGCCACTTCTACATCTTTAGCACTAAGTACTCAATGTTGAATGAATAAATAAATGAATAAAATGGACTGAAATTTAACCTTATACCTTTTGACTCTCTCTGGTAGTATTTTTCCCCTGACCATCTTCTCCTTTAACTCAATTCTAAAATAACATAAAATCAGGCTATCCTGTCAATCCTTTTAAAAATGTTTTATTGTAAGTAATCTTACTTCTTGTTTAATTGTATGAAGGTTAGAGAACATATTCTACATGATTCCATTTCTATTTAGTTTTTCACATTTCCTTTATGACCTACCATGTGGTCAATTCTTGTGAATTTTCTATGGGTCCATAAAATAATGCATACCCTGCAGCTTTTGAGTGCAATATTCTAGTTATGCTTGTTAGGTAAAGATTGATGGTGTTGGTGGTGGTGGTTTAGTCACCAAATTGTGTCCAACTCTTGTGACGCCATAGACTATAGCTCACCACGCTTCTCCGTCCATGGGATTTCCCAGTGCTATTATTGAAATCTTCTATTTTTACTGATATTTTCCTGTGTGCTTGTACTATTATTGAGAAATGTGCAATAAACTTTCTTACTAGAATCATTGATTCATCTTGCTTTATAAATTTGAGACTACATTTTTAGATCCATACATATTTAGAATTGCTATATATTCTAGGTGAATTAAATCTGTAATAGTTATAAAAATGCTGCTTTAAAGTTTCGTAATGAATTTTGCCTTTGCTGTTCTTTTTTGTTAAAAAAGGAGATGTTAGCAACATCAGTAAGATAACAGAGTAGGAGGTACCAGCCTTCCTCCCCCAACAAGAAAATTATAGTTAGACAGCTATCCAGAAATGAGAACATTCCTGGGAGGGTTCAAGAATCCAATTAAGAAACTATAACAACATGGTAGAGTAAAAAAAAAAAAGGTGGAGAATGGTCACACAGAAACGATCACTGATGAGGCTCGCTTAGCTGATACATGTGGAGACGGCAAGAGACAAAGAAGGGTGCGGGTTGACATCAACCACGTGGCAGGTGTCATCATGGTCTCCAGGGGCCTGCTCTATGGAGGGCCCCAGCAGCCTTTGCCACTGAGGACTTCAACAGGCCCCACAACAGCCAGAGATTCCCCACAGTTCTCACAGTGAAGGAACCTGAAGTGGCATCGGTGCAGACCCCAGAGCCTGCTCCACAGAGAACACTGGCAGCTTTTGCCGCCGAGGTAAACAACAGATGTTGCTGCCGTGGATGCACTGGAGACGGAGATGCTGCGCACCCTCACCAGAGGGAGCCACTGTTGCACCACCCTGGCGCCAGGCCTGTCACCGCCATGATTCCTGAGCCCCGGCTGCTCCCCCGTGCACCCACTCTTCAGGCCCCAGCAGCTCGGCTGCTCTAGCACACATGTGTTCAGACCCCTGCTCGGCAGCTGCTTGGTTCACACCTGCATCTCAAACACCAGAGCCACTGTGACCACAGGCTAGTTAGTGCCTTGGGCCCCAGAGCCACAGTCACTGTACAAGAACCTACACTTCAATCCCCAGCTCCGCGGCTTTTCCAAGCATGGTTGCACCTCAGATACTGAAGGCACTGCCAAGGAGAACTAGCCAACATGCTGAACCTTGGAACTACAGTCAATCCATGAGCATCTGTGCTCCAGACCCTGGCTCAAAGGCTGTTCCACAGGTACCTGCACATCAGTACCTCTGCACTACCATCACAGGGGACCTTGCAAGCTGGATCCAGCACCATGACTGATCCCCTTGGCCAGGACAGCGCCACTGGAGACAAGGAGATCAAGAGGTTTGCAGAAGACTTGAGCATCAAAGACTCCAACAGTCCTCATCACATTGCAGACATCTGCAGCCTTGGCCATTGAGGATCCTGGTAATCTTCACTGATGCCAATGTCAGCTGACAGAGTTACACATAAATTATGTCACTGGGCTTTTCACAGAATCAGAACTACCACACACACCCCACCTGGCACCCTTGTACCTACCCACAAGTAAAGGTCTTTCCCCACCAAAACCACTCTGAAAAGTCTGAAAGACTTCAGACTTCAGACTCCATCAAATGTGCATATATCAATTCAAGGATATAAGAAACATGAAAAATCAAGAAAACATGACACTGACAAAAGAACAAAATACTTTTCAGTAACTGATCTCAAAGAAATGGAGGCCTACAAATTGACAACAAATTCAAAATAATTGTTTTAAGGAAGTTAAGCAAGTTATAAGAGAACACAGATAGACAACTCAATGAAATCAGGAAAAGAAACACATGGACAAGACGAGAAGTTCAACAGAGAGACAGAAATCATACAAAAGAATCAAATAGAAGCTCTGGAGATGAAGATACAATGAATGAAATGAAAAATGCAATAAAGAATATCAACAAAAGACTTAAGAAGGACAAAGAATCTGTGAGCTCAAACATAGATCATTTCAAATTATCCTGTCAGAGAAGAATAAAAGAAAAAATGAAAAACATCTACATGAATTATGGACAAGAAAAACAACATACACATTAAGGGTGTCTGAGAAGGAAAGAGTGAGAAAAGGGGCAGAGAGTGTCTTTTAAAAACTAATATTCAGCCAGATTTGAGGGAGCTTCCTTGATAGCTCAGTTGGTAAAGAATCCGTCTGCAATGCAGGAGACCCTGGTTCAATTCCTGGGTCAGGAAGATCTGCTGGAGAAGGGAGAGGCTACCCGCTCCACTATTCTCAGGCTTCCTTATGGCTCAGCGGGTAAAGAATCTGCCTGCAGGGCAGGAGACCTGGGCTGGGAAGACCCCCCGGAGAAGGAAAAGGCTACCCACTTCAGTACTCTGACCTGGAGAATTCCATGGACTATATAGTCCGAGGGGTCACAAAGAGTCAGACATAACTGAGCGACTTTCACTTTTTCATGAACATCTAGGCACATGAAATTCAAAAGTCCCCATACCTAATGAGGACTTCTCCAAAACACATTATACTAAAATTGTCAAAAGTCAAAGACAAAAATTGTCACAGAGAAGAGAGAATTTTGAAAGCAGCAAGAGAAACAAACTTCGCTTCATACAAGGTAACTTCCCTGAGGCTATCAGCAGACTCCTCAGCAGATATCTTACAGTTCAGGAGAGAGTGGGATTAAGAAGAGATAGCTTCCCAGGTAAACAAAACCTAAGGGAGATCATCACCCCCCAGACCTGCCTCACCAGAAATACTAAGTGGAATTCCTTAAGTTGAAGTGGAAGAACACTAATATCATGAAAACATATGAAAGAATAACACTCACTGGTGAAGGTACATCAGACTGAGAACACTCTAGTACTGTAATGGTAGTGCATAAATCACTTAACTGTAACATAAAGGATAAAAGACAAAAGCATTAAAAATAACTATAGCTACAATAATTTATTAATGGGTGTACAATATTAAAAAAAACATAGTAATTTCAAAAATTAAAATGTTGGGGGAAGTAAAGGGGTTCAGTTCAGTCGCTCAGTTGTGTCCAACTCTTTGCAACCCCATGGACTGCAGCATGCTAGGCTTCCCTGTCCATCATCAGCTCCCGGAGCTTATTCAAACTCATGTCCATTGAGTTGGTGATGTCATTCAACCATCTCACCCTCTGTCGTCCCCTTCTCCTCCTGCTTTCAGTCTTTTCCAGCATCAGGGTCTTTTCCAATGAGTCAGTTCTTCACATCAGGTGAAAATCACTTAACTGTAACATAAAGGATAAAAGACAAAAGCATTAAAAATAACTATAGCTACAATAATTTATTAATGGGTGTACAATATTAAAAAACATAGTAATTTCAAAAATTAAAATGTTGGGGGCAGTAAAGGGGTTCAGTTCAGTCGCTCAGTTGTATCCAACTCTTTGCAACCCCATGGACTGCAGCATGCTAGGCTTCCCTGTCCATCACCAACTCCTGGAGCTTATTCAAACTCATGTCCATTGAGTTGGTGATGTCATTCAACCATCTCACCCTCTGTCGTCCCCTTCTCCTCCTGCTTTCAATCTTTCCCAGCATCAGGGTCTTTTCCAATGAGTCAGTTCTTCACATCAGGTGGCCAAAGTATTGGAGCTCCAGCTTCAGCATCAGACCTTGCAATGAATATTCAGTACTGATTTCCTTTAGGGTTGACTGCTTTGATCTTCTCGCAGTCCAAGGGACTCTTGAGGGTCTTCTCTGACACCACAGTTTGAAAGCATCAATTCTTTGGCGCTCAGCTTTCTTTACGGTCCAACTCTCACGTCTCTACATGACTACTAGAAAAATCATAGCTTTGACTATACAGACCTTTGTTGGCAAAGTAATATCTCTGCTTTTTAATGCTGTCTAAGTTTGCCATAGCTTTTCTTCCAAGGAGCAAGCATCTTTTAATTTCATGGCTGCAGTCACC